AGACAGGGTTTCTCTGTGTAGCTTTGCGCCTTTCCTGGAGCTCACTTGGTAGCCCAGGCTGGCCTCGAACTCACAAAGATCCGCCTGCCTCTGCCTCCCGAGTGCTGGGATTAAAGGCGTGCGCCACCACGCCCGGCTCAAACAAACTTTTAAGGAGCTGAACTATACCTTTTCCCCAAAATAGCTGGGTCCTAGGTGTTCTTTAAACATTTGGTTATTGTTTAGATCTTATTGTGGAGACTTGCTTTAGCTGGTCAGAATTGGTCCAGCTTGAGACGTATCCAGGCTTCGTGAGGCAGAGGACTTTTGACATTTTCCCTGAGGACTTTCCCCAGTTTGTTAGCTAGCAATCTTAAAACTAAAAGCATGTGTGAATAGAAACCAGTGTACTCTTACCCAGTGCACACAGTTAGACAGGAACACAGCTCTTAGGGGATCTGTTAGCAGAACCTGTTGCTGAGCTTGGGAAAGAAGTGTCCCTTACCTAAGCCTCGGTTTTGCCGTCTATAACAGAAGCCTGTAATATGTAAGTGTAAACTGTGGCGTAGAGCCAGGGTTGGGGTTTATTGAGAGCCTGCTGATGAGAACACTTTAGATTCCTGTGCGTTATCGGATGTCAGCATGAGTGCACCTCGTGTGGTTCAGATTCATGTCCTTGCTCCAGCTGGGAAGAAATCCCTGATACATTGCCATCTTAGGAGCCATGACAACCCTGGATGATAAACTGCTGGGGGAGAAACTGCAGTACTACTACAGCACCAGCGAGGATGAGGACAGTGATCATGAAGACAGAGGCAGTGGAGCCCTGGCCAGCAGCTCCACACCTGCGGAGGCTGAGCCGGCAGGCGAAGGCATTTCAATCAATACAGGTACTGGGAAGCTCTATGCTCTGGAAACTGACACAAAATGGGCCTGTAAAGTGTGCAGCCACTAGAAGCTTCTCGCCTTTGTCCAACTTCAGTCCCACTTCAGAGACAACACAGTGTTTTCGTTCATTGTGCTTGCTTCCATTCCTTCCTCTGCAGCACAAATCTGTGTGCTGGCAGCGTGGCAGGGCACGGGCTGCACCGGGTTTCAGAACCCGTAAGTCATACGTGGGAGCAGACTGGTAGGATTAATTCCCAGAAATGGCATGTGTACACTATTTGTTTTTTAAATTAAAGTCTCTTACTATTATATGTATATGTATGGTCAGTGTGCATGGGCACATGTTCCAAGTGCCAGTATGGAGATAAGAGGACAGCTTTCTGGAGTTGGTTCTCCCATCTTTGCAGTTAAACCCCAGGAAGTTTCCTCAGGTTCCAGGCTTGGACTGCAGGTCCTTACCTGCTGAGCCACCTCAATGGCTCTTACACTGTGGTGTATTGTTTTTAGTTTTTAACTTTGTATTTCTGGGAGTTGAACTGAGACCTTTGTTCATGCTGTGCAAGGTCTCGACTACCTAGCTATACCTCCAGTCCACTCTAAGTTGAGTTGCTGCTAAAGAGTCCAGAAAGCAATATAATATTTTTCCTTCCACTTTTTCCCTTCTTTGTTAACAACTTTCTAGATTGGTGCCTTCTTGTTGGATAAGAAATAGCCATTTTTGTTTTCTTTTTAGAGATGAGAGTCTCACTGTGTTGCCCAGGCTGGTCTTGAACTCCTGAACTCAAATGATCCTCCATCCTCAGCTTCTCTAGTAGGGATTTCTGGCATACTCTTGGCATGTACCACTATGCCCAGCTTGTCATTGTTTTTGTTTTTGTTTGTTCTTCCCTAATATATTTGGAGTATCATTCATGTCAAGAAATGTAGTATTTTCTTATTCTGCCCTGTCTTACCTTTTGGTGCTGCAGATCAAATCCAGGGCATTGTGAGTGCTTGGTTAGTATTCTGTAAGCTAAACTACATTCCCAGCCTCTGGTTTTTGGAGAAAGGATCTTATTATAGCTCAAGCTGACCGTGAACATGTGATCTTCCTGTTCCTGTGGAATGCTTGCATTGCAGGCATGGGCCACCAAGCTCTGTCTAGAATTACCTTCCCTTCCTAAATGTGTCCTTATTTACCTTTGAGTAGATGAAACATACTTTGTACAATGTATGTTTTACATACATGTATTACGCTGGCCATTCTTGCAAACTATGCTGTAGTAAACCTCATTGTATGTAGAACATTCTGCCCTGTGTAGGGGTGTACGGAGGTTTCTGTATGAGCAAGCCTCATACAGATTTAAGTTCCTGTTTACAGATGTTAGCTTCTCGGTTTGTTTGCCCTCCTCAGGTCCCAAAGGTGTCATTAATGACTGGCGCCGCTTCAAGCAGTTGGAGACAGAGCAGAGGGAGGAGCAATGCCGGGAGATGGAGCGGCTCATCAAAAAGCTGTCTATGACCTGCAGGTCCCATCTGGACGAAGAGGAGGAGCAACAGAAACAGAAGGACCTCCAGGAGAAAATCAGTGGGAAGGTAATGGCATCTTCAGATACTTCCCAGGCTGGTGGAAGTGGGCTTGGTGATTCAGGAACGGGAGGAAGCTGGATTTGACTTGCAGTGCAGGCAAAGGGGAGAGTCCTGTCATAACTCAGGTGCATCTGGGCTTGGCCTTAGCTCAGCATTGGCTAAATAAGGTCATTACCTTTCTCTCCCCAGGGTATTGCAGGTCAAATATTCATCTTAGGGACTGGCCTGTTGAAAGTGTAGAGTATATCTTATTTTCTTAATCATATTCATGAGCATGTATTTTGTGGAAGCAGTACAGTAGAGCAGACATTCTAGGAAATATTTGAGCCCAGGTCTCTGACACCTCCTTATTAGTATTAAAGGTCTTTCTTGTCCCCTCTGACCAAGGAAGAAATGTCTAAGAGTGCCTAAGATCAATTAGCTGTGGCTTAAAGCTAAAAATATCAGGCACAGGGCCAGTGAGGAGGCTCAGTGGGGAAAGGTGCTTGTTGTGCAAGCTGGTGACCTGAGTTCAATCCCCAGAACCCATGTAAAGGTGGGAGGAGAGAACCAGATCTACTGAGCTGTCCTCTGACCTTTACCTGCATACTGTTGCACATGCACCCACACTTTTACATGTGTGCACATGCATTCATTGCACATGTATGCATATATACACACAATGATTGTAAATTGACATTTAAAAATATCAGCCAACATGAGGGTACAGATAAAGCATTAAGCCAAGAGTTTATCATTTGACTGGGGAATGATTTCAAGACATAAAACCTAGGGGAAAGCTGTATCAGCTTAAAGACCCAGTTAGGTTGGCCAGGCAAGACAGCCTCAGGTTTGAGTGGTGGAAAGAAGATTGGTAGTAAGACAGAGTCCAGAGGGTGCTGGTTAATTATGACACAGTGCTGACCCAGTGTTCCACACTGGTGTGGTCTCTGGTTACCACCCCTAGTCTATACAATATTAGACAGAGATGTCTTGCTGCACTAGGCCAGGAGAAAGAAGATGTCTGTCGATTTGATGGTGTGCAGCAGTGACCTTTTCTCCTGGAAGCAGTGATCCCCTCCCCATCCTCCATTTGGTATATTGAGCCAGTTCTTTTCAGACAATCATATAGGATTGTGAAGTTGGGTTCTAGCCAATGGAGAAAAGACACAGCCACAACCTGAGCTAGAATAAAAAACGAATGCAAACAACTTGGAGCAAAATGTGACCTGAGAACGCAAGGGAAAGAGCCACCCAGCCACCGAACCAGATCATCAGAATTATAAGCCCACCCTACACCGACTGGGAACAGGTAAGGCCCCATCTCTGGTCCGGCAGACCAGGTCTCTAGCCCCTAGACCCCAGCCATCGGAGCCCCAGGGACCAGACAACTAACCTTCCCTGTTCCCTCACCAAATAAAACCAGCTCCTGCGAACCCAACAACCACTGGAGCATAAGCCCACCCTACACCAATTGGGAACAACTGCTCACTGAGACAGAACCCACTAACACTGATTGGACTAAACTGCTCCTGGAGAAACAGAGCACAATAGCACCAATTCGACCAAGAACTCCCAGTGGACCAAGACTATCAATTGGAACGAGAGAGGCACCCTCAGACACAGACACCGTCTGCACCGAGTGGAGGAAGAGATGAGCAGACGCCAGGTGCAAAAATACAGGCGACAACATAAAGACCTATATGGCAACATCAGAACCTAGTGATTCTACACCTGCAAGACCTGAACATACCAAGAGAGAAGAAAGAGAAGAAACAGAAGAAATCAGTCCTAAAAATGACTTTAAGAAGATGATAGAGGCCCTTAAAGAGGAAATGAAAAACTCCCTTAAAGAAATGGAAGAAAAAAACAAACAAAAAATTGGAAGAAATTAAAGAAAACCAAGAAAATGTAATTAAACAGATGAAAGAAACATTCCAAGATTTGAAAATTGAAATCGAGACAGTAAAGAAGACACACACTGAGGGAATGCTGGAAATAGAAATCTTGACTAAACGAACAGGAACTACAGATGCAAGCATAACCAGCGAATGCAAGAGATGGAACAGAGAATCTGATGTTGAAGACACGATAGAGAAAATAGATTCATCAGTCAAAGAAAACACTAAAGCCAAAAAAGTAACACAAAATGTCCAAGAAATTTGGGACACCATGAAAAGACCAAACTTAAGAATAATAGGGATAGAAGAAGGAGAAGAATACCAACTCAGAGGCACAGAAAATATATTCAACAAAATCATAGAAGAAAATTTCCTAGTCTAAAGAAAGAAATACCTATGAAGATACGAGAAGCTTACAGAACACCAAATAGGCTGGATCCAAGAAGATATCTGTCAGGAAAGCTTACTGTTGCACAGTGTGCCTGCTGCTCACAGCCATTGAACAGAGAGACCAGAATGAAGCAGCAGTCATAAGATTGGAAAGATTCTGTCCCTGTCCTGTTGAGTTGCCTGTAGTAGACCAGAACTGGAAGCTGTGTGCTTGGCAGAAATGAATCTGGGAGTAAGTTAAGTATGACATATATGTGTATCAGTTTAAAAAAGTGTTTGGAAGCATGAGGAAATTTTTTTCTTTTTTTAAGACAGAGTCTCACTCTGTCAGCCTAGACTCACTATGTAGACCAGGCAGTAGATCACAGAGATCCACCGCCTTGGCCTCCTAAATGCTGGGATTAAAGGTAGTATTGTTAACATTAATTAGAGACAAAAGCAGGTTATAAGATACCCACAACTACAGTCAGTTGACACGAAAAAAAAAAAAAAAAAAAAAAAAAAAAAAACTGGGCATGGTAGTACATGGGAGGCTAAGATGGGGGGATTGGTAGTTTGTGTACCAGGCCAGACTGTTCTACATAGGGAAACCCTATTTCAAAAAAAAAAAACAGAAACAAAAAAACAAAAACAAACTGGAGGCTGGAGAGCTGGCTCAGTGGTTAAGAGCATATGTTGTTCTTGCAGAGGACCTGGGTTTGATTTCTAGTGCCTACATGTGGTTCACAGCCATCTATAACTCTAGTTCCAGGAGATCTGGTACCCTCTTCTGATCTCCAAAGGCACCAAGCACTTGTTTGGTATACATAGATACATGCAGGCAAAACACTTGTACATAAAATGAATAAATCTTAAAAAAAAGAAGAAAGAAAACATTTAGAGTTTGTGTCATGTGAATGTACGTGCAGAACAGCAATGAGGTGTGTCCCTTTGGAAGATAAATGAGTTGTCTTTTCAAAAAGGAGAGTGACTAAAGGAACACTTGCTGAGACTGACAGAAAGAGTGTCCATCAGAGAACTGATATGTGATGCTGCTGCCTGTTTTGGAATGAGAGGCAATATGGTATTGTAGTTGAAAACCTGAGTGTCTAAAATCCAGCTTAAGGGGCTAGAGAGATGGCTCATTGGATAAGAACAGGCACTGCTCTTACAGAGACCCCAGTGTGGTTCCCAGAACCCACATGGTGGGTTTAAACTGTATGTAACTCCAGCTCCTGGGAATCTGGCACCCTCTCCTGAACTATGCAGGCACCTGCTCTCACATGCACTACGCCCCCATATATACATATAATTAAAAATAATAAAAATAAATTTTTTAAAAGTCCAGTTTGAATCCTAGTCTTGTACGTTATACCTGTGTGAATTTGTGCAAATAATGTAAAGTCTTGGGGTTAAATCTACATTTACAAAATGGGATTATTAATGTTCTTCCTATGAGATTGAGAATTCAGTGATAGGTGAATTCAAGGGTGATGGCATGGGCATGTAGTCCTAATTACTTGGGAGGCCATGGCAGAGCTAGTCCAGACTACGTAATAATACCCTGTTTTAATGAGAGGTGGAAAAAAAAGACATTCCTGGGACCCACATGGTAGGAAAGAACTAACTTCATAGGAGCACCATGATATGGGCATGCCCCCTGAATGTAAATGTAATTTAAAAACTTTCAGGAGGGTCTGGAAAGATGACTCAGCTATTGAAATTGATCTTTGCAGATGACTCAGGTTTGGTTCCCAGCACCCATGTGGTGGCTTGAAACCTCTATAACTTCAGCTCCAGGGGATCCAGTGCCCTCTTCTGACTTCCACAGGCACCAGCATGCACATGGTACACATGTAACACACCTCTAGACATAATTTTATTTTTTTCAAGACAGGGTTTCTCTGTGTAGTTTTGGTTTTGGTGCCTGTCCTGGATCTTACTCTGTAGACCAGGCTGGCCTCGAACTCACAGAGATCCACCTGGCTCTGCCTCCCGAGTGCTGGGATTAAAAGCGTGCGCCGCCACTGCCACTGCCACTGCCACCGCCACCGCCACCTGGCATAAAAAATTTAAAAGAGAGAGAAATGACATAATGTCTTATGACATTAACATGGTGCCTCATGTATTCTCAGTACAGGGTGCATCTTCACAATGACTAAACTGTTCATGTCTGTCTTTGTTCACCGGCTGGTTTTCCTGCAGATGGCTCTGAAGGAGTTTGCTACAATGGACAAGAACCTGGATGACGAAGAGTTTCTGCAACAGTACCGGAAGCAGAGAATGGAAGAGATGCGGCAGCAGTTTCATAAAGGGCCTCAGTTTAAGCAAGTTTTTGAGATCCCCAGTGGAGAAGGGTTTTTAGACATGATTGATAAAGAACAGAAAAGCACCCTTATCATGGTTCATATTTATGAAGATGGCATCCCGGGGACTGAAGCCATGAATGGCTGCATGATCTGCCTTGCCACAGAGTACCCGGCTGTCAAATTCTGCCGAGTGAGGAGCTCAGTTATTGGGGCCAGCAGTCGTTTTACCCGGAATGCTCTTCCAGCTCTACTCATCTACAAGGCGGGTGAATTGATTGGCAATTTTGTTCGTGTCACTGACCAGCTGGGGGAAGATTTCTTTGCTGTAGACCTTGAAGCTTTCCTACAGGAATTTGGATTGCTCCCAGAAAAGGAAGTCTTGGTGCTGACATCTGTGCGAAACTCTGCTACATGTCACAGTGAAGACAGCGATCTGGAAATAGATTGAACTGATAATCTAGTTCCAAAACTATCTCATTGTTTGGGCTGGAGGACACATGTCTGTATTTATTTCTGTCCTTCCTGCGTCTTCTGGCTTGACAGCTGTTCTTTGTAATCTCATATAGTATATGGAAAGTCAAGAAATTCTTAGATTAAATCAGAATGCTGACTCACTTTGTGGCTAGCAGTAAAGTGACTTTAAATTATATAAACAGGAAGCTAGGCTTTTGAGCTGTTTACTTTTCTAGTGTAACATCGCTGATACTGTTTCTTGTCAATATTGACATGACACCCTTGAAGGCAATGTCTTGAAAATTGTCTTCTGATGACCTCAGAGTTCTACCAGGTCTGAGAGTAGAATTCCCTAGTGAGTGTGTTATAGTGCATTTCCATAATCACTTGATTGAAAATCATGTATACTTGTAATCACACTCATAGCTCTATGTTTTTTTCTCTAGACCCTTCTCCACTAGGGTCTGACTTAGAGGCTCCATACAAGGTTGGGGATGTAGCTCAGTGGTGAATACTGACCTAGCATATACTGGGCCCCTAGAGATCTGATTCTCAGCCCAGCATTTTCAAAAGTAAACAAAACACAAGGTTTCAGATGCCTGGGCTGCCATTAGCAGTGGCCACTGCTGCGTGAGTTAGTGTTCCAGACCAGCATACTCAAGTATGAGCAGAAGAATGGTTTTTTGCTGACTGCTCTCATCATGCTGGAAGGCAGGCATCCTGTTGATTGACACTGGTGTGGGTAGAGCTTGAAGCCTCAGTAGGAGGACCTTTCTATTTTGCTCATCAGTGTCTATTCCTATTACTTAACAAGGTAACTTCTTGTTTAACCTAGATTTTTTAAGAAAGCTTTTTTTTGCATATTAGAAAAAAATTCATATTTAATATAGGAAAATAGGCCAAAATGCAGATGCAAAAATGGCTTAAAGATATATATATATATAATTCTACCACCTAAACACTATGCTTTGTATATTTCATATGTAGGTGTTTTTTATGTATTCAGATGCTTTTGTTTGTTTTTAAATGACACTGGGATCATTCTGAGCATACTGTCTGATCTTATGGTTAGCTACTAACACTTCAGAATTGTTTTCATATTAGTAAATACTCTTCTGTAGCATTTTAATAGTCCATTGATAGATATACTGTAATCTGCTTGGTGGTAATTTTTTAGAAAGATCACAAACTTTTTTATTATGAAAGCAACATGTTCATTGTAGAACATATAATTAAAAATTAAGCTGAAAAGATATTTAAAAGCCATAAAATTTCACTAGTAATAATTCCTGTCATTTTTACTGATCTCTTTCTAGCTTTATGTATATGTGTGTATTTATAAAATTCATTGTCATTTGAGTTTTTGTTTCCTTTTGATTATTCCTTAAATTATATATTCTAGTATCAGGGGAAATGAAATGTAACTTGGAAGTAAAATTAGCATTAGTATTCACAGTTGAGTTTTTTTGGTTGCTCAGAAACTAGCGGTAAATTAGTCTTGAACATACCTGTTGGATTTAATCAACAAAAACAGAGTGTGGTCGTTTTGCTAACTAAGGAGCTCATTGTGGAAGTCAAGAAAATCAGTAGGGGCAGAGAGGACTGGTGTCAATGTTCTAGTTTATTTCTTTCCAGTCTTTTTAAAAATTTTTTTTAGTATTTTTAATAACATTGACAGTTACTGAATTCTGTAATACTGCATACTAAAATACTTTGGTATGTTGTAAAAGAATAAATCAGTGGCTTTATGATTCACCGTTTGAATAAACCGTACCATGTTGAGCCTGTCCCTATGTTACATATTTAAGTCACCAGCATTTTGCTAAGGCACTTAACACCTTTGTGATTTGTGCTGTGTTTTGGATCACTCGTAGTACAGATGTCTAGAAGAGCCACTGGGAAAATGGGCAGGAACATTTTAAATGTTTTTTTCTTCACAAAATTATTTTTTGATAATTTCATACACTATTTTGATGATGTTCTACCTCCCACTTCGCTGACCTTCATCCCTGATAGTTCCTCTTCTACTTTGATGTATTTTTGGTTTTGCTTTGTTTTGTTTTGTTTTTTGAGACAGGGTTCTTCTGTGTAGCCCTGGCTGTCCAGGACCAAACTGGCCTCAAACTCAGAGATCCGCCTGCCTCTGCCTCCCAAGTGCTGGGATTAAAGTTGTGCACCACCATGCCCAGCTTATCTTTAGGTTTTAATGGTCCACTGAGTTTAGTTAGGGTTGTTTAGATGAACATGAGTGAGGGGTTATTGACTGGATCATGGGCAACTTGCCAGAAACTACACTATTGAAGAAAATGTCTCCCTTCTCTCAGCATCCATTAACTGCCAATAGCTCCTTAGAAAGGGTTGGGGCCTCATGAGCTACTCTCCCATCCATGATCTAATTTTTTTTCATGATTTCATATATATAAATTTGATCATATCCTCTTATTATCTTCTCTCATTTCCTTCACCCTCCCACTGAATCCCTTCTTTGCCGTGAACCCCCTTCCTACTTTCATGTTTTTTTTTTTTTTTTTTTTTTTTTTTTTTTTTTTTTGTGTGTGTGTGTGTGTGTGTGTGTACTTTATTGCGTGTAACTGCTTACATGCACATGGGTGGGGGTGTCATTTGCTTGAGGAAGGCAATGTAGTGGCTAATCCCCCACTTAGCAAACATTAACTACCTATATCTCTAGAGAGATGGGTAGGACTTCAACCCCTCCCCTATCTATGATGGGGTGTTGATAGGCTCAGTTGTAGCTGGAATTTTCTCTGGTCCTTCCTTGCCCAGCAGTCTGGACAGATCTCTTCTACCTGCAGTCCCATAGCTGCTTATAAAATAATTACTCAAAGGTGTATATTGATTACAAATTCTATGGCCTATGGCTCCAGTTTATATTAGCTAGCTCTTTCAACTGAATTCAACTCATTCCTATTCATCTGTTTTGCCATGTGGCTTCATGGCATTACCTGTTCCTCACATCTTGCTTCTGGTGACAGCTCACAGCTCTGCTGTGACTCCGCCTTTCTCCTCCTTGTATCTCTGCTTGGATTACCTGCCTGCCTCTAAGCTGCCTTGCCATAGGCCAAAGCAGGTTTATTTATTAACCAATGGGAACAACATATTTGCAGTGTACAGAAAGACATCCCACAGTACTCAGTCTTGGGCAGGTACTGTCATTTCATGGGTCCAACAGTCTGATGTGTCCAGAAGATAACAATTCACAACACTCCTTCCCATCTTCTAGCTCTTACATTCTTTCTGCAATGTTTACTGAGCCTTGGAGGGGTTGATATGGATGTCCTGTTTAAGATAAGCATTCAACAGCCACTCAGCATTTTGACTAGTTACGAGTCTCCATTAACTGGTTTACTGTAGACAGGAGCTTCTCTGATCAAGGCTGAGAGTAGCAATAATCTATGGGTATAAACAAATAGTTATGAGGCAGTTTGGCAGCATGATCATTTAGCAAAGCAATGGCAGTTAGGGCCTGTGCCATCCCTGTCCTGGGCTTTTGACTAAATTTACAGTGCTAGGCTTAAATTCCTTCTGTGGAGTTGAGCCTCAAATTCAGTAAGAAAATGGTATGTTACTTCAATAACAGCCATGCCACCATTTCACAAGTGGGCACATCTTGATTGGTAGTATTAATAACGTTACAGTTTGCTTTCTATTGCTATTATAAACACACCGCAACTAAAAGTAACTTGGGGGGAAAAGGGATTATTTCAGTTTACAGTTTACAATCTACCACTAAGGGAAGTCAAGGCAGGAACTCAAGACAGGAACCTGGAGGCAGGAACACATCTTACTGACTTTCTCTCCATGACTTGTTCAGCCTGCTTTCTTATACAACTCAGGACCACCTTCCCAGGGGTGGCACACCCCTAGTGGCTGGGCCCTCCCACATACATCTAATGATTATTAATATAAGAAAATGCCACATTGTCTTGTCTACATGTTGTGGTTGTTTTCACTTTTTTGAGGGACCTGCCACCTAGTTCCCAAATAAATCACACACAGAGGCTTATTCTTAATTATGAATGTCTGGTCTTAGCTTGGCTTGTTTATTGCCAGCTTTCCTTAACTTTAATTATCCTGACTACCTTTTACCTCTGAGCTTTTCCCATTCTCTTACTTCTGTAAATCTTCCTCTTACTCTGTGGTTTGCTGTGTGCCTGGGTGGCTGGGCCCTGGAGTTCTCCTCCTTCTCTGGCTACTTCTTTCCTCCCAGATTTCTCCTTCTATATATTCTGTCTGCCTGCCAGCCCCACCTATCCTTTCTCCTGCCTTGTCATTGGCCATTCAGTTCTTTATTAGATCGTTAGGTGTTTTAGACAGGCACAGTAACACAGCTCCACAGAGTTAAACAAATGCAACATGAACAAAAGTAATACATCTTAAAATTATATTCCCCAACACCTACAGGCCAATTTCATGTGGGCATTTTCTCAATTGAGGTTCTGCTTTCCCAGATGACTCCAGCTCATGTTGTTACCAAACAAACAAATAACTAATTAGCACAAACAACTTCCCTTCCAGAGCCTATGACCTCCTCAGCCATGGCTAGGTTTGAAATAGTAGATGTGAATTCCCTCCTGTGAAGTGGCCCTTAAATGTAGGCAGTAAGAAGTTGGTTATAACATAACAGTCTATCTTCCAGGTCATTAGCATAGCATGCAGAGTCCCTAAATTAGAAAGATTACTGATAGCTTTTCTTCCCCAGCAAAGTGCATTTAAAAAAAACAAACAAACCTATTTTTGTTGGAATGAAAAAAATGCAAACAGAATCTTGACTTTTAAGAATAGAATTCTAAATTAAAAGAATAGGCATGTAATGGGGAACACGCTAGAATTCGGTCTCTTAATTGGGTGTAGCAAAAATAACATGGGTATTTTAGAGAATAAGAACACAAAAGCAATGTGGGAGGAAGGATTTATTTTGGCTCACAGTCCGAGGGATACAGTTTGTTATAGTGGGGAGTCATAGCACCGGGGGGCTCTGTTGGTAGCAGCATATAGCACTAGTCAGGGAAAAGAGAGACCTGAGCTAGGTCTGGAACCAGCCATTCCATGTCCTTATGGTGCCATATCTGCCAGATAAACCTCATATTAGAAGATCCCACAACCTCTCAAATAGCGTTGTTACAAGCTGGGAGCCAAGTGTTTGGACACAAGCCTGGGGGTCATTTTTATATCCAAGCCATAACATTCCAGTCTATCCCCCCACAGGCCTATGGCCATCCTTTTATTCTTTCATACATGTGTATTATGTGTATTATGTCCTCCCCTCCCAATTTTCTTTTCATTCTCTAAAACATCCCCCACCCCTGGTGTTATAAATCTCTTTCCCCTATTTACTAATTTTGGTTTTGTTTAGTGTCCCATAGATCTAAATCAGGGGCACCTGTGTGATCCTGAATTTGGAATTACCCATCAGAGCCTAGTGGGCTCACCAATGGATATACAGCTGGATACCCTTCTTTCCCTCTACTGCACTGTGTGTGGCCAGCAGATCGGCAACACATGGACCCATGAGTTCTGTGGTGGTTTGAATGAGGAATGACCCTCAAGCATTTGACCACTTGGCTCCCACTGGTGGAACTGTTTGGGGAGGGTAGGAGGTTTGACCTTGTTGGAGGAGGTGTGTCACTGAGGTGGGCCTGGCCTAGCTGCCTTGAGGTTTTTTAAGGTTAGAGTCCTAGCTCCTGGGACACTATGTGCCTTTTGGTTCCTGAGAGACTTATGCACACTCTCAGGCAGTGAAGCATTTAGGCTGCTTTATGTTTCTCTGTATGATTCCTTAGTAGTCAAAGAAGCATAGAAGCTTAATAGGACAATTGATCTTGGACATTAATCCTGTGTACTCGGTATAGCTTGCAAACTTCGTTGTATCCTGGTAAATACAACTGTCTTGATCCCAGATATTGACATTATTTTCTGTTTCTGATAAAGGTATAGCAAGTCTGATTGCTCTCAATAAAACAGCCACAACCTCAGTCTTGCTGTGGCCCCTCCAGCTCAAGCCTGGGTTAATTTCTTGCTGCCATATCAGGTAATAAAGGCTTGGTAAGTATGCACAGGCTCTTACATTTTTACTTTTTTTTCTTTTGAGGCAGGATTTCTCTGTGTAGCCCTGGCTGTCCTGGAACTCGCTCTATAGACCATTCTGGCCTCGAACTCAGAGATCCACTTGTGTCTGTCTCCTGAGTGTGTGCCACTACTATGGCTAGGCTTGAGATCTTAAGGTCTCACCCTACTTCTTGTTTGCCATTTCTTTCTACTTTGTGCTTGTGGTTAAAGGTGCAGGCAACCGCTTCCTGCTTCTGCTGCTCTGTTTCCCCACCATGATGGAATCCTGTCCCCCAGAACTGTGAGCCCTAATAAACTCTTTCTTCTATAAGTTGCCTGAGTCATGGTGTTTTATCACAGAAACAAAACAGTTGAGGAGGAAAAAAAGAGAAGCCATCCCTTCCTACTCCATATCAGATTGTGAGAAAAGCCTGACTTCTGTGGACCCAGGACCAGCCTGTACAGCTGCTGTTGAGTTCATGGTTGCCTTGGCCATGTCATGTTAAAAGATGATATTTATCAGCTCCTCTCACCATCTTCCAGCTCTTACATTTTTTCCCACTTCCTCTTCCACAATATTTCCTGAGTCTTATGGGGGGAGGTGGTACAAATGTCTCATCTGAAGCTAAGTCCTCAGCTACCCTTTATTCTCAGCATCTTGTACAAACAGTACATTTGGTCTCAGATCTAAGAATATTCTCAGGCCTCTTCTGAAGTTTGA